ATCTCAAAGTGGCCAAGTTTGGACAACACTGATATAGACTGTAGAAGGTGGAAAACAATCATCCATTCTAGAAAAAAGGAGGTGGAAGAGTGACAAGTAGATGCTGGAGGATCCTGCAGAAGCCTACATGGAAGTAAAAACAAGCCAAGAGTCCTACAGTTTCTTAAGATCCATTAATATTTATACTTGCTCAAGGCTTCCGTAACCAAACCCTTATTTCAGATGCATAAACGGTTCAAGTCATCTTCAAGTTATATAGATGCATGTATATAACACAGCTTAATATTTAGCATGTATACAGCACCTTTCGAATTTCACGCTTCATATATTTTTTAACTCTGCACAACAGCCTTGGAAAGTAGGACACTATTATTCCAATAGATGTCCTAATCTGAATACCACGGCCAAAAAATATTGCAAAATTTAATTCCTAGTTGAAATTGGCCTCAGTTTGCACCTCTATATAAAATAGCCATGGCAAATTTTATGCAAATATGTGTCCTATAGTTATGGATCTGGACCATTTTAATGTCTAGCAATGGCGGTCGTGTGAGTTTTTTTGGACTGAAGGCCAAAGGTACTGAAAAGAATAAATATTACATTGCTTAAAGCTAACTGTGCTCTCTCCCCATAAAACAAAAATTAAATCCGTATTACATTTAAGTATACATTGCTTATCCAAAGCCACTTATTTTAAGTGCTTAAGGCAAATTACATTTGAACAGAGGTGTCTGCAGGATATGGTCAAAATGGTCAAGACAGAAGCTGTGATGGTGAAGAACTGAAGAACACCCAACCCGAGTAAAACAGAAAGAGTTTCAATAACACCATCACAGCTGCTGTCTGGACTTTTTTGACCATAACTTGCAGACACCCCTGTGTTGGAATCACACTTTTTTCCCCAGGAGATCTAAGCAACATTTCCAGCATAGGCATCCACAGCTAGCTCGTCAGACGCAAGTATGTAAGATGCAGAGTTTGCATCACGATACATAGTTTGTCACTTGCCCCCTTAAGATTACTGCAAAGCTTTCTTTTTATGCTCATACACAAGGCAAATTAAAGTGAAAGCCATTGACTGGCTCAAGAACAGAAAACACTCCATCTGTATTTCTCTAGCCACACCATCCAGTCAGTTTGACCCAGAATCCATTCCACACCAAAAGTATGACTCCTGTTTTCAAACAAACCAGGTCTCTGCATTTACACAACTTATGGTGAAATCTGCAGTGCTGTGATACCCCTTTGACCTAATTAAACATCTCATGTTTCAGCAGTATTTTGATTAATGTTTTTGGGGGGGGGGCAGTAGTAAAGACTGCCTTAAAAGGTGTGTTCTTTTTTATCAAAATTCAGCTCTTCAGTACTAATGGTCAGGATATTAGAATATCCTTAGGAAATCTGGAACAATGTTACAGTGAGCAAGATACAGGTAGTCCTTGGTTAATGATGGTAAGTAAGACTGGGAACTCGGTCACTAAATGATGCCGTCATAAAGCGCAAAGTCACATGACCACACCAACTTACAATGGCAGTTCCGGAAGTTCCAGTTGCGGTTGTTACATGAATCCTGCATGCTTGTTAGGCATGACATCACGTAATCGCCATTTATGACCTCCTGCCAGCTTCCCCATTGACTTTGCTTGTCAGACGCTGACAGTAAAAGTCACAAATGGCAATTGCGTGACCACAGGGCACTGCAACCATCATAATTGCAAGTCAGTTGCTGAGCACACAAATCGCAATCACATGACCACGGGGATGCTGCGACAGCCGCAACTTTGAGGAATGTCCGTAAGTCTCCTCGTTCAGGGCCATCGTAACTTCAAACAGTCGCTGAATGAATAGTCGTTAACTGAGGACTACCTGTAGTACATTTAACATTTAAAGCCCAGCAGAAGTTTTTGATCCATGGGTCCCACAATTTTCATGCCTTTCTCCACCGTATCTTATTTTAGGTGATCAAGTAACAGAGGCCATGGCAAGACTACATAGATAAGAGAATTGATTCTTAACCATTTTTAGTAGGGCTTGCAATGCTTCACATTATTTTACTTTACTTAACTTTATTTTTAAAACATTTATATGGTTACCCATCTTAAACCAAACCCTGGGGGGCTGACAACCCAAATTTGATTCCCAAAAGATGCTTCAGAACATGTGAAGAGCAAAAGCGCATATTGTCAATGACTCGTTAAAGCAGATGCTCTGAAGCACCTTTTCATTACCCAGTCTCATTTTTTTTATGGGCGGGGAAGAAGTTTAGCCCACACATCCAGCAAGGTTCTTCCCAACTTTACCTTTCTTCTATTTATCTATGGCAATCATTTCATTCTACAGGGGGAACAAATCCCTATCTCTTCAGAATACTGTCATTGTGAAGACAAGCTTCTTCTCCCTTGCTCACTTATTTATTATTTAATTACTTGTTTAGCCTTATCTTAAACAATTTCTATATTGACCCAATCAACAGACCAAGGAGTTCACATATACAGAATTATGTGAGAAAGATCATAATGATAAATATTGCGTTGAGTTTACTATATGTCCTTTTACATAGAATGAATTGAGGTGTGTTATTCATCCCAACAGCTCTTTGTCATATGCAAACATTTATATCATATAAATCCCACTGTTGTAATGATATATCTTATGTTTATAATGATATCCAGGAAGCACTTTCTAACATTAAAAATGAGAACATATGAGTAGTTGATTTCAAAAAGAATTCTTACCTTTATCACCCCATCATAACCTGGTATTGTATTGACCTTTGCGTTCTTGGCTAACAGTTTGCTTTCTATCTTGTCCCCCATTGCTTGAATGGCGTGCATATCTGGTCCGATGAAAACAACGCCTTCCGAAGCCTGAAGAAACAAAGAAGGAAGAGTGGTTTCTCAACAGAAACAGTATTACGATGGACCTCTTGGAAAGTAGCTCATATATTATAAGCAACATTAATTTGAGTCAGTACATTAAAAGCATATATGAGCTTGCTAAGCCTATCTGGAAGAAAAAGTCAAAGATCCCATAATTACTCTTTGTATAAATCAAAGCCAGACCAAGGAAAACTAGCTGAAAGCCATAAAATATTCCTGTCTGAATAGCTGTAGGATCTCATGAGTGAGAAAAAGGCAATTAACTCATAACCCTAAGATGCCACACAAGAGCATACTAAGATATGTTGTGTAATATAGTTCACTCTGTTCACTCTGTAGTTCATTTTATAGTTCATTCTGCATTCTTTAAGCTTCACATAAAGAGAAATTAAATTCCTTTTATAAGGGCTGAAGACGTGCAAAATGGACTTTATCAAGTTTTCAGAACTGCATATATAAATGGAGATATTTCTAAATACCATCCTTCAAACTAATCAAGAACATCCTCCATTTTAGACTAATGCCCTAAAGAAATGCTTGAAAAGCTGCAATTATTTGTCTTTAATGGTATATTACAGCTTAGAAATTTATTATCTGGAGTCTTGTAGAACTGTAGAGAATATACTATTCTATCCAAATATATTAGAGGTTATTACAATATCAACACTCAATTATTTTCCCCAATCCACAGGCATATTATACAGTACATAGGAGTTTTTTTGGGGGGGGGGGTTATTTTGTGCTTGAAAGAATGCTGAATGCTAAAAGCATTATAGTTATAGCTAACTATGTGATAAGTAAAATGTGATAACGGCAATCATAATTGCTCGCATGGCTTTCATGTTCACTGTGGGGCTTAATATTTAGCTAACTAATCAGATAATAAAACACTAACCTCTCATTAACACAATCTTGTTTATCAGTCTGCCCTATTTCAGGCACAACACAATAGGCAAGCATATCAAAGAAATGACTTAAGGATATTTCACAAATGTATGTGTAAAACTTGGTCAGAATATTTCATTTCTCATCACTTGATTATCGCATCCGATCCTACAAATTCAAATTCTGTAAAACTTCAACTTCAAGTGAAACAATAAACATAAAGCATACAAATCATGACAGTTCGCATCTTTAAGCCAAGAATTGATAGCAAACAGATT